TGTGTGTGTGTGTGTGTGTGTGTGTGTGTGTGTGTGTGTGTGTGTGTGTGTCTTTCCAGTCATCTGCCTGGTTGGCCTTGGCCTGGTGGTGTTTTTCTTCAGCTTCCTGCTCTCCATCTTCAGGTCCAAGTACCATGGATACCCCTACAGGTAACTATAGCAACTGTACAGTAGCATGCTGGACAGATGCTCACGCACAAGTTTCATCCAACTTACTCAACAGTTACTCAAACACGATATACAATGAATCTTAAAAATCACTGAAAGTTGACGTAAAATCGCTACAAAGTTATTGCAGACGCGGTGAAAAAAAAAATCCAGGCCAAAAGCGGATCCATCCATTCCCATTATTGCATCGATCCTCAGACAGCTGTTCGATTGGAAACACTCCCTTCAAAAATGTACAGGCCACAGCGCCGAGGTTCCTCCTCCGAAGACCAATCCGCCAGCTAAGAACCTTCAGTCTGGTGTTGTTGCAGTACGCTCGATACATACGGTGCATTGACGTGTCTTCTCTTCTTTAGCCTGATTACTAGAAGTCACGGAACTATCATGGGTGTTTCTCTGCAGGGCATCTCACACAGTGAATGTGTTTGGACACTAGCCAGCCAGAACAGCAGCAATTTGGTCCCACTTTGAGCTAAAGGTCGCCACTACATAAAAAAAAAAAAAGATTTAATGTGTGACAGAAAACACTCCTCAGAGTCTGAGGTCCAATTCATCGCTTCTGGTGCAGCCGTGGGATATTACAGCACAACCTCAAGAACAACCTCCAGCTGCAGGAAGTCACCTCTGCAGCTGGAGGGGATTCGTGTTGTCGGGGGCACTTCACCGGGGCAGATCATTTATGGGGGGCTCTAACTCTGCTGCGACCTGTGGCTTGAAATAGGATCACATGGCATTGTGCCAGCTCACTGGAGGGGCTTAGCGTCCGATGATTGTTGTCTAGTGCCCTTTGATGGAAAGTTTAGTTGTGGTATAAAACTGGTCATGCTTTATGTCACAGGTGCATATTAACGGAATGTTTTCCTAATTTTACCGGCTGTGATTCCTGCTGCTCATTAATCAATTCAACTATACAGAAGACAGATTTGTAGAGCAGTAAAGGTGTGGATGGCTCTTAAAGTGAGAATACAGCTTGAGAGGAACTGTTTGATGCATTTTTAATTACTACAAATCAGGCCAGTGTGGTGTTTGTTGTTTTATGTGAGACAAAGAAACATTTGCGTCTGTATAGCAACAATAAAAATAAAAATAAATCAGTCAGTATCAGTGTCTTCAGCTAGCTATTGAGCTCTTTTGCCTGATTAAATGCCTCCACAAACAGTTTGAACCTTCAGTATCTACCAAGAAATTCACCAACAGCCTCATGGTTTTCACTTTTTTGTAGCCTCTGCTAAAAATGTGTTGTTGTGCAACACAAGCCACGACTAAAAACCCTTTATTGTTTTCATCCCTTTGTGTCTTCTCTCCCTATTATCTTCTTTGTTTCTCTCCTGTCCTCCTCACTCCCTGTAATCCTCCTCTGTCTCTCAGCTTCCTTATTAAGTGACAGAACAGACAGAAGAGGAGGTCAGCGATGGCCGAGAAGCGATGGGTTAGAAGAAGAGGAGTCGACGAGATGCTTGAAGAGGAGGAGGAGGCGGCGTCAATATTGAGTCTAGAGTGCATGGTGGAGTTTCTTTTTTTGTGTGTTGTTGTTGTTGTTTTTTATCGACTCCTATCATAAACTCTACTAGTTGAATAGAAAATGAATTATTCCTTCTTACACTGGAAAATAAAGGTGTTTGGCATGTCTCTGTATTTTTGTCATTTTTTTTATGGTCCCCTTTTTGGTGATTTGAATATTCTGTGTGGCTATATATACTTGTGACTGTGCTCTGCTGCTTTTAATCCGTTGTATTGCATTTTATTTGTAAAAAGTGTGTCGCAGGTGAAAGGAGAGACAGAGACACCTGAAGTCAAACACACAGAGAGTGAAGTGGATGTTGAGAGGACGGGAAGTGAAGCAGCAGGTTAGGAAGATGGTTTACGTGGTGACACTTGAACACAGCGGCAGAGAGCTAAAGTTTATTCGTTAGTTAGTAGGAAAGCTTATTAACTACGTGTAAAATCTCAACTAATTAAATCGTCCCAGGTGCTTGTCACATAAATGCATCTTTGGAACATAAAGATGCTAATCCTCATCTGGTAAATTCCTGCTGTAGCTTCAGAGCTCAGTCAGACTCAGTTTCACGGTGCGACCAGTTTTGAATTAATAAGGCTAAAATATGAATGTGTAGATTTATAGTATACACATATGGAATGAATCCAATCAGGTAACACAGGTCTTGGGCTTTTCTCTCTTAGAGTGCATGTTTACACCCTTTGGACTCTGGTGTGTGTATATTTTATTTTGTATGTATCTAAAAAATGATCGTTGGGTGTCTCCAAAGCCTCTTGGATGAGGTTATTCAAAGACAAATAGTCAAAATTGACCAATATGAGACCTAAGATGTGAGTGTTAAAGAAAAGCTCTGCGTTCAGTCTCACACAGTTCACTTTCTGCTGTATTGAATAAAAGTTCACTTCTCCCCACACTTGCTAGGATCTTAAATCACTAATGTGAAATAGTATTATGTGAACTGAGTTTACAGGAGGCCGGCTGCGAGCGCTGTAACTTTTTCTTTGCTGAATGTGAGAAGCTAAGGTCATTTAGAGAATACATACATTTCTAATTCTTTCACTGGTGGACTGCCCGCTGAAACAGTGAGTGGGCTGCAGCATTGAAACCATTTATGTAACCCTTCTATGCGTGGGCAGACAGAGGAATGGTGCCGCACATAGACCAGTTTTGACAAGTGTAATAAAAATATTCCCTCTTAGACTTCCCATTCTTGTCTATTTTTTGCTTCATATCGTTGGGAGACTGAACCGTTGTGTGCACACTGATCTTACCAAAACACAAGCTGATCTTGTAATCAGTAATATACCGAACATACTGAATATAATTACAGTCAGATGGCTGCTGGCTTGTTGAATCGTGTGTTAGAATTTGACACGACATGCAGGCAATGGAAGGGACTCAAAGGTTGCAAAGAGCTCCTTCACTGTAGAGAGTTACTTTAATAAGAAGAACTACCGTCAGCAAAATAGTCATGCATATTGCCGCTGTGTAAGACATGAGAGGTAATTACAGCAAGCAACACCTGCCCTCTTTATGCTTGTAAATAACGTACTTTCTTTTCTTCAAGTGAGTAACAGTACACAGTCGCAGTAATAACCAACTTCAGCTTATTGATTGGCCCGGGGTGAGATCGTTTTTTTTTTTGTTACAAGGGCCGAGATGTGGTATCATTGTCGGCGCTAGGAATAGAATTTCCCATCTGTTTCCCCTGAACTGTTGACCTTTTATGGTGTGGAGGAAATAAGCAGAATAAATGCCACCTTCAGGGGAGGGATAAGTATTGGCAAATGAAGCAGAATCAATGTGTATTTTAGACAGAGGGCAGCTGTAGTACAAAGTGACTTTTAGAATAATCTCTCAACTGCCTCAAAAGGCTACACAAAAATCAGCCGTACATCTTGTAAAATGAGTGCATTAAAGGTTTGAAATAGACTGCTTGTCACTACTAATGTACAATCTGTTACCCTTTTTAGTCTGTGAATTGCTTTACAGTTATATTAATCTGGCTTGATTAAAAGATGACTTCACTATTTTTTCAACCTGCACCCTATTATCCCATTTTTTGTGTGTCTAACTGACTGTTAACAAACTCATTCCGGTCCAGTATTGAGAAGGAGCGCTGTAGACCGTAGCCACTCTCGGGCTGCAATGGAATCTATTGGGGTAAACTGCGGCACCGCCATTAACGTTCCACCAAAACAGCTGGTTTTTGCCATGACAGGCTCTGATTGTTATTATAAGTGTCTGACGACATTATGGAAAGAGTCTCGTTCAAGGAGAAGTCAAGTTCTGAAATCTCGCGAGGTGACTTGTTGCAGGAAGATAACGGTGAGATCACTGCCAGCTGGGTGGGCAGAGTTTGTTGTTTTGGAGAAATATGTAGCGTGGTGTTTTCTGAAAGATTTTCTATGTCACGGCTGAATATTTAGATGATTTCGACAATGTGGTTGAGGTGTTTGAAATCGATGGCTGTCCTTAATAATTTCAGCCCGAGAATATCCAGATATCGCAACAAGACTTTTCCTCGAGCGGGACTTGGACACAATAGCCAACAGACTGGATCAGGTGAAAGTTGAGGAAGAAGGTTTTATTTCTGTGTCGGGTCTTTCCCATAATGTTGTCAGACACCGATAATAACAGTCTGAGCCCGTCAGTGGCAAAAACAAGCACTTTTATTTGATGTTGCATTACATTGACCCGGCTTACTTGCCCTCAATGCCTGTTGTGGCCGGCTACAGCGTTCTCCCTCAATACTGGGCCAGTTGTTGCCCCATTAGTCACTTAAGAGTCCATGTTGAAAAATACAGAAGTAACCTTTAAGTTAGATATAACCCTTGAAATTGAATGTACTTCCTCATCTTTTGGGGTCCCATAAACCCCACTGTTGTATGGGTAAAATCCAAACATTGCAAATCAATATTTTTCTCCACTAAATGTTATTTACCTGTTGTGTAGGTGTGTATTGAAGTGAGACCCCTTCCCTTTGCCATAAACTGAGCTTGCACATTTGATGACGGTGGCGTAACTTATGTTTGCAGTGGTTTAGACTCAGCAGAGATCACACTCCCTTTTAGACTTCCTCTGGAAATTAAAATAAAAACAAACAGGCTTTCAGAGTAAAAGAAACTTACGTTCACAAGAGAAAGAACCTTTCAACGATGCACTAGTACTGTGTGTCCAGTTGTTATTCTTCTTTTGTAACTGCTAATTTCCACTGGAAGAAAAAAAATCGAAGAAACGCAATTGGTATTTGGATGGTGACAGCAGGACTGCCATTTGTTGGGGGTCATGGTGGCCATATTTTACAGATAGCAATTCAGAGACGGCTGCAACTTTTCCAGGAGCGTCTTCGTCCTTTCTGATATCCTGTTAAAGAGCTTCTTGTTGACAGACTGACTTACGCACCAGCCAACAAACAAACGCTTCTTGCCCTCTCTGGCTTTTTTGTTTTGTATTTAAAACCCTATGCTTCCATCTTAGTTCTAAACTTTGCCGTGTCGCGGCATTTATTCACTGCTTCATCACTGTAACGGGCAGTATGCATCGGTGTGTGCATTTGGGCATTTAGCGACCTTTACAGGTGCTCCAACCCGTCGCCTATTCAGAGCACTGCCATTGATGAACTGTTGAAAATAAGCGTTGATGAACTTTCCAAAATGTCTCTTGCAGTTTTATTGAACTTTTCAATTTCCATTCAGCTTCTCTCGCTTGATACCTCACTGTTAATCTGTTGAATAAATCACAGCTACTGGTGCGTTGCTCCTCAGCAGTGGTGCTGCAACCCGCCGTCTGGTCTGATTCCACTGGGTCTGGTGTTCCTGTCTTACCTGACCTCTGTGACGTCCTGCTGAGCCGCGACGGACCTTGAAGAAACTCTTCTGCAGTCTGTCTGTTGAGGGCATGATGCCACCTCACTGTGGACCAAACCTCCCCTCTCATCATGCAGTCCACAAACATTTCCTCCAGGCATCCACACCACAGCTACAGCAATTATCCTCAGAGTGCTGCTTCAGTCGTTGCTGTTTTGTTGCATCACTGTCTTGTGTTTGCGTGCGCACATTTGGGCTTGCATGTGTGTGTACGTGTGTTCGTGGTTCAAAGTGTGCGCATGTGTCTGCGACAACATGCATGTTTTTTTTATTGGTTGTGTGTGTGTGATTTTAGAGGAAACAGTCGTATAAGATGGGAGAGAATAAGACAACACGGTCACGTCTCTCTGTGTCCCTCTTGAACGACTTAAAAAAGAGAGATTACGTCTCTCTATCCTTTCCTCTCCTCTGATGATGCCTGGCTGCCTCTGTACAGCAGATCTATTCTCGACATATGTGGACGATGTCTGCAGTGGCACAAAGTGAAAGAAAATGTGATGCAAGGCCCTCCTGGGTGCTCTTCAAGTGGAGAAAGCGGGATGCAGTGCACTGATGGGTTCCCTTAAAATTCAGAAAACGTGATGCAGGGACCTCTCAGGTTTCCATGTGGAGAAAATGTAATGAGGTGTCCTCTAAGGTGCCCTTCTAGTGGATAAAACATGATGCAGTGCCATAAGGCTGCCCCACCGCACATGCAGTTGATGCCACTTACATTTTCTTTGCCACTGTGTGGAGGTCATGTTTTTGTGTGACTGATGAAACAGGATCCTTGTTTGAATGTTTTTGTTGAGTCATACTTGTGAATGATACTTTCAATCAACGTTACATGTAATTCAGTGATACATTTTTTGGTAACAAAATCTAGTTGTTAGAAAGTCCTCATGGACCACAAATGAACAACTGTGTTCCTTTGTTAACTCGTGAAGTGATCGGAATGTGTCGTGTACAACATCGGTCCTCGGCGTGTTTAAAAAACTAATTTACTTTTATCTTTCTCTGAAACATCTTCTAGGGCCTGCCAATACCCTCTACATCTTCCGACAATAATCATGCCACTGATGAGAAAAGGTACTTCAGGAAACTCATTACAGGGAGGATAATTCAGCAAAGTATTTCCCTGATTCCACCCCCAACCCAACACCATGCCGCTGACGCCACCATCAGCATGATCCAGCCTGTGGATAAGCCGGTGTGTGCCCTAAAAGGTAATAACTAAGATTTACAGCAATTGCAGCAGCATGACAGGAGAGGGAGGGATGCAATGGGGGGGATGCAGAGCCTGTTAAGGGAACAAAAAGGGCATAAATAAAATGATACGTTTACTGATAATACTGGATAATGCTGTGGCGTGACAGCTTGAGAAGTGCAAGATTCAGAAGTGCCATCCAGCACGTATGATATTACCACTTCTGTTTGCAGGGGAACTCATTTTGAGAAGAGATTCAGCTCTGATCTATTTTTCTGATGAAAAATACATACTCACAAATGGCGAGGGGATCTTTAGAAAGAATCTGCAACTGTGCATGTGGGCGTGGGTGTGAAATAGAGGCAGGAGGAGATGTAATGTTATCTATTTTCTCCAAACTTTCATTATCTTTTTTTTTTTTTGCCAGACGTCTGTACGTTGCATTGAAACATATTGAAGACTTGAAACTTCTCGAAAGTCCAACTTGTGTTCCACTTTCAACAGCTGCAACAAGGACATTTATTTATTTATTTTACGTGTCAATGCATAATCTCATTAAGATGTGCTGAGGACATACATTTGTAATAATTGGTTTACTGACAAAGCTTGCTCTGAGGTGAAATAGTAAAAGAAAAACAATGTTAAAGGAAATATATGTATATATGGTGGAAAAGTTCAGCGCATTCGATAACAGAAAGTAACAGCAAACACAGAGGGGAGTCAAAACAAGCAAGAGGAGAGCTACCAGTTCAATGTGCATTTTAATAAGCTTTAGTGAGTCTGTTGAAAAGTGTTGCTATTAAATTGTCTGGTGTGCAGTTGTAGAAAATGACGTTCTTAATTGTGCCAATTTAATGGAAAACGCTGAAGTCTATTGGAAATAATTCAATTACTTGTGGTAGCCTGAGGTACACAGGTTTTCCTTTTTTTTTTTGCAGGACTTTTCATTTTAAAACTGACAATTTGTACGATGCATGCTCTATTCCTACTTTGTACTGGACACATGTGGTTTAAAGATACAGGAATTTACCGAGCATAGAGAATGCGCATTATCCTCTTGAAGCCCTGCTGTTGTCTTAAAGCAGCTTTACCCTTCACTCCTACTCCTCAAGAGACAGCAGTCAACTTTCTCGGCAGGTCTGAA